GAAGAGGCTAAGGCCGAAGAGGCCCCCACAAATTTGTGGTATCAAGTGGGCAACTACTCAGACTATTGAGTTATTTTCAAAGGTTCAACAGCAAGTTCGAACTCTTCGAAAATAGCTCTCTAGTCATATTTTATATTTTATTATATTACTTTTTTGCTCGTCATTAATTTGTAATTGTAATTGGAGATGATGGACCATTCCATCTCCTTGTTACGCCAAACTCATCAATCAAAAGATGCACAAGTTTTTAGTTAGTTAATAGAGTCAAAACTATTTAGATTTGCGTTTTCTCAGATATTAAACTTAATTAACGTTCGTTAAACATTACAATAATTTCTCTTACCTTTTGTGTCTTTGAAATTTGTAACTTTGATCGAATGTTATTATATTTGGAATTTTTTTTTGTAAAGGACGCGGTATAAAAATATTACACAACGAATAAAATAGATTTTCTTTTTTTTTAGTAACGTAATATTTGAAGCTTTTCTATTTCTTAATTATTATATATTATAATATAAAATCACGCGTTTTTAAATTTCATTGTATGTAACGTGAAATAGAGATTCGATAAAAAAAAAATAGGGAATTAAATTTAAAAGTGCATCTGCTAATTTGGCGACTTGTATTTTAGGCTTGTGTTTATTGATTGTATGATTAATACAGTTTTATTTCTGTTGCAGGTGATCATCGTTGGATTTAACTTTAACCCTCTTCAATTCTCTTGCATTAGAGTACCTTAAATGGCTACTATTGAAAATACATATATACATGCATTTCTGAAGGCACATACACAAACATAAAATATAAAATTTAATTCTAGAAAATTCTATCAAAATATTTATTAAAAAAATAATTATCTTTGAATTAGTTTTAGGGTCAGTTGTCGGACGTATAACAAATTAAAATAAAACGCGTATTAGAGTTAGTGTTGTTCGCCGTATAATTAAATTTCGGTTTCGCGATAAGAAACTTATTTATAGTTTCTTATTTTCATTTATATTGCGTTATTAGATTCACGCGAGATGCATCACCATGATGCCATTGAGCTTCATCCCATTGAAGTGCATTGTAAGTATTCCTTTTTATTTACATTGTATTTGATAGGAATATTTTGAAGCCATCGCAGAACTTCTAATGCAAACATTACATTTCGGTAGACAGACACGTAAAGATTTTTTTTTTTATACTCTCAAAAATAATAAAGGCTTCTTTCCTTTTTAAGTTTAGGTCATAGACTGTATAAGACACGAGCATCATCCTGACGAATCGTTCAGACCCGTTATTTTTCATATTGCGTGATTAGGGATGTTACAGAGGGTGTTTAGTGACAACAAATAAATTTACCAGCTCGTAACGAGTCTACATGTAACATAAAATTTCACGCGAGGGTTAGCCTTCATTTTATCTCTATGATTCTTGATAGATAGAACTACACTTCCGGCGCGAAGTGTAGAATGTGAGGGTCATACGAAATTCATTCTTATTGTCTTTAGTAGTCTCACGAGTTTTTATTGTTTCAATTTTTATCGAAAATAGTTAACAAACAATTTTTATTTACGCTTGCAAATTAAATGTAGATCTGCTTTAATTCAGTTTAAACAATCTTATATTTAGAATTGAGATTTTTATATTTTATATATTTTCGTTCAATTCCATTTAATTACAAAAATGATATCTATAGAATTTATAGAAATGTAAAGAAAAATCGAAGTTTGGCAAGAAATAATCGTTCAGCTAATCGATTGTCTATACCTAATCGCAACACCAAGGGTTTCATTGTCCCAGCTCATTGTCAGTATACGTATATGCATGTATTCGATAAATATATACACTACAATGTTACGTTCGGACTTCTTTTCTAAAAAGATCGCGTTTCGTTATTCAGCGTACGAAAGGAATTGTAATTCGATATGATCTTCTTGTTACAAACCTTTACAATGCGAAGGGACACTGAAAAGAAAAAATAAAATTGAGGAAAAAGTAAAAATTTACTAGTCAATACGATTCTTTTAGACTTTATATTATTTCTGACGGAGAAATTTATGTTTATATTTTTATTAGAGATGCAAGAACCTGATATGTGACAAAAATAATATTTTTCCCAAAAATTTATTATCAATCCGTGGCTGCAATTTTTAATCTTGCAAAAATTAAATTATACGAACGCGTTAGGTAATATTATAGATATTTTACAATTTTTAAAACTATTAAAAAAAAACACAGCAGTAAAAATAAAACGTTTTTCAAAACATATAAAAAAAAAATGTTCATCTGCGCATCAGATTCTTGCGTACAAAATTTTGTGTTGCATGTAGATTTTATTTTATTTTTTTATATTATATATTATTATATTTTCAATTTGATTAATGTGTCAGTAATTATAATTATACACGGAATAGAAATAATTCTTGTATAAGAAAAGTATGAGAATAAATAGTAATAATACTTACGTTTCGTACACGTGGAAACAAGCATATGCTTTAAGAGGATTATAGAAATTGGTCTCCCTAATCTTTTGGCCGTCTCGTTCTAACAAGGGGGAATAAGCTAAACTATTTGCTCTAAAGAACCAATCAGCTATCCAGCTGGTTATTATCTTATTTTCTCGTGAATCGGATGCATCGTTTTAACATCTAACAGACCAAATATACCTGTCTAATGATATTTATTAAAAAACGATTCACTTTTGTCTCATTAGGATTCATTTGTTCAATCGACATATTCTCATTATTTTATGATTTAACGTTACTTCGTTAGATCGAATTCATAAGTACATTATATCGTGTATATCGGGGGATTTTATTTCGTAGAAACGTAATTGTAAAAATGGCAAAAAAAATGGATAGATAGATAGATAAATGAAATTGTCAATAAATTAAACTTTAATGATTTTTGTTCAATTTAGATTTTATTTTTAATATATATATATATATTTAATACAATTTATATATTTCATCTTACAAGAGAAGACTAGAAAGTTTCTTTGAAAATCCAAAGAAAATATATTCCATTGCTAATAGATAAGAAAAGCAGGTGGTGAAAACACTTCGTCAATGCGTTTTCGTCGATCGGTTGAAAGCTATTCTAAATCATAAATGAAAGAGCACCCACGTTGTGCCACGTGGAAAGAATACAAAGCTGGAAAAGCGTGTAGAACTACTAAGCCCTTAAATCAAACTATGTCACGTGAGAGTAAGCTTTCTAAGACCCCTCGCTATTACTATGTTTCCAAAGAAAATAAGAAATAGGAAAAATACAAAGAGAGATAGGAGGAGAAACAAACATTTTCTTCGTTTTCAAGATAGAAAGAAACAAGAGTAAAGCGAGATTCGTTTACAAATCGATGCGTTAATCGAATTAGAATAAAAGTATAGAGTGGTAGATAGGAGGTAGTGTTATCGACTTGAAATTGAATACCACCTGTCGGCTACAGGTCAAAGGTGAGAAAACCAGATCGATTCGAGCCTCCAAAGAACTTTGCCAAACCATGCGAATAAAACTTTCCTTTAATTTCCATTCATTCAATAAAAGCTACTTATACACACGCTTTATCGAGTCGAAACAAACAAAAAAACAATTAGAAATATTGATCGATTGTACGTGAACTCTCTGGACACTTCATTTTCATTAAATTATTCAAGAAATACTGTCTATATATATATATATATATATATATATATTATAAATATCTGAATGAACAACACTAGTATTTTTTTATGTACAAAATTGCAACATTACGTATTGGTCAACCCAATATTCAAAATGTTGATATAATTAAATTAGTTATTTTTTGTGTAATTATATATTAAATTTCTTGTATAACAAATCAACATTATAATGAAAATCTTGTTTATTTCTTTCAAAAGAGAATCACGCGACATATTAATATATATAATAAATAATAAATATATATATATATTTGCAGAATCGTAGAAAAAGCTTTTTGGTTTCATTAGATGGTATCCTCGACGGGCCAAAACTAAGTTGGCTTGCAATAATTAGAACGTGGCCCGCGTGGAAGGACGTGTAAAAGAGGGGTCGCACCTATTCCCAGAGCAGCAACCATAGGGAGAATATATCCCTTTAGGGCGCACGCGTGTTCACGCGCACGCGCCGAAAATTTCCTCTGATAACGGCGGGCGTCTCGACGTCGTTCAGTGTCGGCTCTGACGCCGTTAAAGCCGCGACGCTTTTTAGTGTGAGTCCACGCTGTCCGACTACTATATTTATTGTTCAGTTATTCGTTTTATTTCGTTATTTCTAGAATATCATTTTCATTGGTTTATTTGTTTCTCTCTCTCTCTCTCTTCTTTGTTCCGTTTCTTTTTTGTTCATTGATCGTCAAACGTTTCGTCGTCGCATAGAAAGGGACAAAGAAAACATGCATCGATTAATAAGCAGTTGTTGTTGGCAGTATCTTCAAACTCAAACGACGTTTTCTTCTTCAAATTCGCGGCAATCGATTTTTCATTAATTAATGTACAATGTGAATTAAAGAAAAAAAAAAAAGAAACAAAAAGAAAAAGAAGGAGAAATTATATTCATTGTGATTGTTAATTAAAAAGAAAATAATAAGATAACATTTCAAGGTAATATAACAATTCTTATGTTAAGAAAGTGTCTCTATTTCCGTTTAGTCGTAACAAATTTTATCAATCAATCAACTACGCGCGTTTCTTTTTTTTTTTTGTTATAATTGATACTTATATACTATTTAATAAATTGACGGTGTACGATTTTAAATGTTGCATTAATTATAAAAATAATTATATCCTGTGTAAGTTTATATATTTCATATTAGTCTTATAAAACGATTAATCAATTTTCGAACATATATTTTTACCTTCAACAAAAATTATCAAAAGGTAGTTCTTTCTAATCTTTTTATTTACTCTCTTTCTCTGTGTCTCTTTCTCTTTATCTCTTTCTATTCAATATCACTTATCGCATCGTTCATCGGGTTCGATTTATGCCCTAATCTTTCTTTCTTTCTTTTTTTTTTTTCTTTTCTTTTCTTTTCTATTTCCTCTTTTCTTTCCTTTGTCAAGAAATATTTCTTTTCTCACGGTGTATATATAGGAAAATAAAATAAAAACAAAAAAGAAACTTATTACATTAGAGAAAAGAGACTAGAGACACTTTCATGTTACGACACTTCACGCGATGATCTCTTTACACGCCATCGCACGTATGAATATACCTATGTAACAGCTGCCTTTTACGATCTTTTACATTTTACGATACCTTCGTAAATTTTTTTTTTCTTACCTTTATATTAATTCGTATTAGAGAAATAATAAAAACCGATATGATGAAAATATTCTTCTTCTTTTCTTTTTTTTTTTTTATTTTTTTTTTCATTCGACATTTCCATTTAATCAGATCAAAGAGAGAATGCAATGTGAGACTTTAGAAATGATAAAAGTACATTTTTTATAGTAACAACAACAACAACAACATCAATAAAAAAGTGATTGTCGTGATTGTTTGATTTGAAAAGTGTACCCATAGTCATGAAAGATCCAGTGGCGCGATTTTTCGCGTTTCTTCTTATTATTTTTGGGATCCTATTGTTAAAGAGGATATCACCGTCTTCAGGTAAGGAAAAAGAAGAAAAAAAATGAAATATGAAATGGATATAGTATAGGGGAATCTAATCTTCTGAATTATCATATACGATTAGGACTTTCACATAGGAGGGTTCTTTCTATGTTTATTTTTTTCCTTTCTCAAAAATGTTTCGTAGAAGAATTTTTGTAGAACTTGTCAAATGTAACTCAACGTTGAAATAAAACGAGGAACACCTGTGTGTATCCATATATATACATATATATATATATAGACGCACGATCGCATATATATGTATATGTGTTTACTATCGAAGCATTCGTCATCTATTTATCGATATTAACGATAATCGCGCTAGATGCATGATTAAACGTTATTTCACATCGTGTATTGTATGCAAAATCAGTATTTGTATTGCAACCCCCTCCTATCTCTCCTCATTCCTCTAGCAAGCTAGTCTCTTTTTTTATCTTTCATATATCCAAAGTCGTAAAACGTACTAACCTTGTCGGAGAATTGAATTTGCGTTTGATTAAGTTCTCAGTTCGTTTATTATAGAAAGCAATTTTATTATCGCGCCTCGATATAACTCGATATACATCATTTCGTTCATCTATAACCTTTTCTTATATTTCTTTCTCTAGATGGATTTAGAAATATCATATGGGTATATATATGTATAAAGATAATGTCATCGATAAAACGTTGACTATAAATGCGCTTTATGGCATTTCCTAACGTAACATTTCATTTGTATTCAGTTCACTCAATATAAGTTATTAAATAATGAGTAAGAGCTTTTATAAAATCGTTTCAAAAATTGTTAAATAAATAAAGAATATTCGTAAACGATCAAAATCGATGGGGAAAAAAAGATATTGGAAAATTATTTAAAAAGAAAAAGAAGAAAAAAGACTAATGCATTTGTACATACAAACGCGTCACGTCGTGGTCCATAATTGGAGGCTGCAACGAGTGGAAATCGTTGGAAGGGGGATGATTTCTCTCTCTCTCTCTCTCTCTTTCTTTTTTACTTTCTTTCTCTTGTAACATGTCGATAGGCTTAACCTCTTAGCTTTTCAAGCCGATGAATTCGCACGACGACAACACCAGATGCATCATGTTTTCCGAGTATATTATTCCGTAGCCGACTAATCGGATTATCCGTGACAATTAGGATTCCTTTCGATTCCAATAACCGATCGATTGATCCTCTTGCAAAGTCCTTTTCCACAATGATTGCTCCTTTCATTTTCCTTCTCTCTCTCCCTCGTTCTTCCTCTTTCTCCTGAGATTAAGCACTTCAATACGTCATACGAAATTCATTCAAGTACAAGTACGAAACATTTTCTTACGAAATCAATTGTTAATCGTGTATATTTTAATGTCTTGTTAGGTACATATAAAAAGTATGATGATTTGATCGAACTGATAAAAGGAATCATTCAGAAATTTTATCGATGCATATTTTGAATATCTTTTTGGCATATGCAACAAGTATTGATGAGAGTTACCATATACTAATTGTGAAAATAATTGTATTTTTATTTATTATATTATTTATTTGTAGTAGAAAAATTAGCAGAGATCAAATTTAGCACGAATATATCTATTCGTATAATATATTTTTACAATGTTTTACAATCAATATTTAGACTCTTACTTAAAAGTATATATACTTTTAATTCTTAAAACAAATTTAAAGTAAATTCTACAAAATTGAATTTGACCAATCATCAGGTGAGCTCAGCAAGTTTTAACGTCTTTACAAATACTCTGTCTTGATCGTCTATCTTAATCACGATTAACTTTCGGGAATAGATTGAAAAATCTTGTTCGTCGATCGATCCAATCGTAGACGACTTTCGTTTATCAACGCCTTCGGCGAAGTGCAGCTCTCGTTATTGATTTTGTAAGAGAGAAAAGAAAAAAAAGTGTACAACGTTGGTCGGCAGAAGGGCCAGTCAGGAAAAGGGAGCGTTGATGGCGGTCGCGATAGCGGTCTACGCACATACATACATTCATGCATGCATGCATGCATGCATATATATGTAGCTAGTATTGCTAACGGTTCAAAACGATGCCACGGAAAGTAAAGTTCTCCGGCTGCACCACCACCTTCCATTAACCAAGCAACCCCATCCTACACAAACTACAACTTCCCCTGAACCCTCTCCTTCGCTCTTATTATCCATTCTGAAACTGGTCAGCAATAGCAACAGTAGCAACGACTTTAGACCTTCTCGAGGGCAATTTTGCAATAATGCCACGCGAAGGTTGAACCCGTGACATTCGCACTTGACCGTAATCAGAAAACGCGAACGTCGTCCTACACGTTCATGTTAAAGTCGCGTGCTAGAAAAATCCCTCACGTGATTCGGGACACAACCATGATCGATATAGTATTCTTTTTATCGATTTATTTTATCTCGTTTCGTTTTAATTTTAACATAATCTAAGATTAATCGCGATATTATTACGAAATTTATCGAATAAAATTGATGGTATTACAAAGTTTTTACGAATAATCTTTATTTTTCCAGGAATACAATTTGTATATTTATACTTTCACGCGATTTCGGGATTATATACGATGAATATTTTCTTTTCTCATTAGAGTTTGAATAGGATCGATCGATATCAAACGATTGCAGTATTTAATTCAATTTTCAAGCAATGCTTACAAACCGAGACATCATTTTTCTTGATAAAATCTGGAAAAGTACAAAAAAATCATTGGTCCCATTGCATAATGTTCGTAACAGTCACGTATCAAGGATTAAAAGTTAATTCCTTATCCGGTTGATTTCGATCGTTGCTCGTACGTACATAACATACGTCAAGGAATAGGAATGGCCAACGAAAAGGGTTGTTGTTTCTTCATAAGGGGTAGTGGTTTCTGCCCTTCCTTTTGCTCGAATACCCCCAATGTCTTATTGGCTCGCGTCACGGCATCAGGCTTATCCATTGAACCGCTCGATGGCCTAGCCAAGCTAGCCTAGCTAGCCTAGCTAACCAGTCAGCTAACTCGGAAATTTCGGCATCGATTTCGCCGTCGTTAGCACTGCCGAGGTTGTTTATTTTGGCTAGCAGCAGCAGCAGCAAACGAGTGTCGGGTCAGGGCATCTGTTCTGCTAATATATATATATATATATCTGTCCTTGTCAATCTATCGCTATATTCAAGCCATCCGTATTTTTTTATTCTAACACCATTCGTCATTTTTTATCAAATCTCATAATCGCTAAATTAGTCTAGTTAGTAGTTATTTCTCTTCTATCTCACACACACAATTTCAATGTAAATTTTCTTACATACTTAATTGCATTTTATGTTGTTGAATTATATAATTAATTGGCACACAAATTATTTGTATTTAGATAAATGAATAGGTACAAAAGAAAAAAGTTGAACTAGGTAGAATTTAAAGGTGGATTCTAGTTTAATAAAGACGATTCCATTTTTCATCGAGTAGGCGGACACCTCTATTAAAGGACTCGCACTCGTACAAACTTGAACGGTCATACATCTATGTGTAAGAAGATGGAAGAAGAAAAGGAGGTCGATCGTAGTAATAGTCTTCGTTCGAATTATATTGATGGGTTTATATTGCCTGATAGGCGAGAGAAAATTTTCCGGGAGAATTTGCAGCATGAAAAATCGTATTAGATTTGCCGGATTTCTCTCTCTCTCTCTTTCTCTCTCTTTCTCTCTAAACATATATTCACGAGCGCCGCGCATACATCGTTCTTATATAGGAGAGCTTTATCTTTTGTTTCCACAGAATTGGTGCTGCGTTTCGTGCACGAACGATGCTCGTTACGGTATTGTTCTTGTCCTGTATGTATGTGTTGCGTTAACCGTTCCATGTTATGTATGTGGCAAGCAAATAGGTGTATACTAAAAACTGTTCATCGTTATTTTCATTTTTTTACAGAGTCTGTGTATGTGTGTGTGTATGTGTCTTTATTAAACTTTTTTTAAAGCAAAGATAGAATCGAATCAAATCTGTAATTAAAAGTGAAAAAAAGCTTTAATGTAAAAGGATACAAGATTGATATAAAATAAATCAGAGCGAAATAAGAGCTATTCGCGAAAGTGAACAATCGATGAGCTTTTCTTTTTTTTTTTTTTTTTCTCTTGAAAGACCGCTTGATAAACTCGAATCGATTCTATTCGTCTAAATTCCCTTATCGTTCTCTGTAACGTAAGTTACAGTCTATACATACGTATATGTATCTATATATAGATATATATGCTATAAATGTTACTATATATTCTTTGAGGACATTATATTTTTAGGTCGAAGTAAGCCGAATCCATAGAGAGAGGATCGATCGAATCCATAAAATCTGCAACATACAATAGGTGTCTTTGTCGATTCGATAAGACTCCCTTCAAAGAGTCCTTTATTGTAACATCTCACCTGATAGATACACAATATACAGCCAGAATTTTTCGTACTAGACGAAATACCGTAACAATATATACATATTCACGAAGCATGGTTACGTTCTATTTACACCCGATGGTTGGGAATAAAAAGTATGTAAAATTTCTACTCTCTTGAACAGGATCAAATATTCATATAAAAAAATTCAAGAATTCACAAAAGAAAACAAAAAAACAGGAAAAGATAACATTTTTGTGTATTTCCCGAATTAAAAAATGAGAAGGATGGTTTACTTTAAAAACTAAAAAATAACGAAGAGAAACGTGTCAAACACAGGTGTGTATTCGCAATAGTTTAACTCCGTTGATGTCTCTCTTTGAACCCGCATGTTCTCACATTACAAACACACGCCTATATATACATATATACCTGTACGTATCCACATATAGAAACATTCTCGCATGCCAGTTACTTGGTCGTAAATAATTAATGCACACCATTTCGCAGTAGCGTCGTGTCGGAGCGGGAACAAATATCGGTGATAAACTTGGTCAGTTTTTCGCGGTGATTACTTTTATTTATTTATTTATTTATTTATCCTTTTTTTCGCGCTCACTCTCTATATATATATATATAT